ATCTACATTTTTAATGTTTATCTTGTACATTTTACATAATTGCTTTGACTATTAAAAAAAAAGACCTATACATACTCAACACTTGAAAAACCACACACACACACACACACACACACTGTTAAAGCCAATATCCCAAAACCTAGACATTCAGGTATGTACACTTTCTTTCAAAAGTAACATGACAAAAAAAAGTAACATGACAGTATCATTATTGACATTACTTAAAATATGTTTTGTATATTCTTTGTATCTTGTGGCATATTCCTGAAATGTCTCCAATGGTGACTAACTTTGGTTGTCTCAAGTTGCTTTTTGTTGTTGTTAGTTCTGGAAAATGCCAAGGTGCAGGCATTTTATAACAAAGCTACGTGACCTAAGGAGCTGCCATCCCCTTTAACAGAGAATGAACCGGGACTTCAGGTTCATTAGCTCTGAGGCAGCTAGTGTACTACAGACAACACAGATGAAACAGTCGTCGTAATCCCTGTGTTAAGAGCCACGGTAACGGGGGTCTGGATAAATGCAGCATTTTCAGAGTGTCATTGCCTCACCCACATGAAATACGTAAAGTCTTCCAGAGCATGAGAGAAGAGTAATTTGCTAAATAATAATTTAGCTGCTCTGCAAGTGTGAATTTAAAAAAAAAAATGATCCCACTTATTATTGTTGGCTTTAACATATTTGATGGAAAATAAAGATCATATTAATGGACACAGTAAGCACTCCGGTGATTTCTCAATAAATGACTGTATGACTTTGTTGTACATCTACATGGAAACAAATGAACATTTGCAGACACAGAGCTACCTCCCTTACCCAGAGGTCTTCCTCAACGATTCATTACACAGTAAATGCAAGGACTAAAGCATTTAAATGCTCTGAGAAGCCAAAATAGATGTCATAAATCCATATCCTGAAGATTTTTACCCAGAAAAAGGAAACTGACCAAAACAAGGTAACTCCAAATTTGGCATCTGCTCATACTATTTTAAAAATATATATCCACTTTAAGCCCTTCAGATTATATTTGCTTTCACTTTGCGTATATTTTTAAGTAACCTTGGTTATATAATTTCTCAGTCCAGTGCAGATTAGAATCAACAAATTAGATAGAGCATGGTGACAGCCTGATATATTTGGCAGAAGCAAAAATGAGAAGTGAAAGCTGTCGTTGGTGGAGAAGAGAGAAAAAACAAACAGATGACTTAAATAAGCTTAGTCTATGGTCATTTAATGTAGAAGACATTGCCCTCATTGTACCAGCATAGTACCCCTCTGTTGCAGGTAAAAATGAAGTAGCTTATGTTTATCGTAACGATACTGAGTCATTGTTCAAAAGTCGTAGTCTACTCAAAAATACCATTAATTTCATTCCATCATTCAGCTGACATTCATTGAGACTGATGTATTTCCTTGGCTGTGTGCAAGGCAATGAGGATATAAAGAGAAAAAAAAGACATGGCAGTGGATTTTGAAAAGTGGAAAACATATAGGGAAACGTATTTGTAATAGCATGAGAGGAACAAAACGTGCTCTAGTAGAGATAAACACAGAGTGCTCCAGGGACAATCAGATACAGTTTGAGGATGCATACATCATGGTAGAGAGGATGATTCTCACCATAAAGAAATGTCCATTAGTTAGAAAAGCTATTATGTGATATGCTGCATTCCCAGGTATGCCAGAAAAATAAGGCATCACCACTGTGTGTTACAGTGGTCACTAATGGCCAATAAGGCTTGTGGAATAAAGCCCACTGCTTTAGAAGAAAGAGTGTCTGTGTAGGCAGAGACATGCAGCCTTCGTAGAAGCAGCTTATAATTTATACACATGATTACATGTATATAGAGAGATCTGGGAGCATAACGGGTGTTTTAGGACATAAATTTAATGAAGAGGCAATCCTGTCTTCTGGTTCGCTCTTAGCATCCTTAACCCAACTCTACATGGTAATATGTCACACAGACATAAACTTGCCCATGAATTCTAGTTGATTTCACTCCTCCGAAACTCTCCAGAATTTTTTTTTTTCCTTGCGTGATCGATTTTAGCACTTCAATCATAGGCTGCCTTAATTATACTGTCATTTGGCCATTTGATTTCACCTGTGCATTGCTTGTCTTCTCAACAAGAGACTGTGAATTCTCAGAGGGAAGGAATTGTTCCTCGCAGGGCTCTTAAGCCTCCCGTATCACTCAGCATATCGCTAAAGTACAAAGTATTTACTCAACAAATACATTTATTGAATTTACTATGAAGATGAAATCTTACCAGTATGGTAAGTGAAATTGCCAAAGCTGTTTTCCCATTGATAAGATTATATTCAGCGCCCGGCACCTGGGTGGCTCAGTCAGTTGGATCCTGGGATCAAGTCCCACACTGGGCTCCCTGCTCTGCAGGAAGCCTGCTTCTCCTCTTTGCTGCACGCCCCCCCCAACTTGTTCTCATTCTCTCTCTCTCAAACAAATAAATAAAATCTTAAAAAAAAAAAGATTACATTCAGTGCCTTAAAATACCATAGTCAAGGGCTTGTCCTCATTGCAGCAGATTGCAAACTCATCCTGCCTACACTTTAAGTTCATCTGCCATTTATTTTTTATTGCTATTAATTATTACTGTGAAGATTAGAAAGGGGTTCTCAATAGCCAGCAGATGCAAGGGACAGGGATTTTCATTTCTCATGATTGTAAAATTGGACTGCATATATGGTTAATAGAAGCCTGAAAATATATTGGATTGCTAGAGATATTTATGTAAGTGCAACGGAAAGATTTGTGCTGCTAGTAGAACAATCACCTTCTGCGTCACACAACCATTCATAATCGGACTGCAGATCTAGATTATGACTAATATTTGGCTCTAATATTATAGGTGGTTACTGTGGAGGGAATCAGTAAGAGCATAACTGTCATTTCCTTGGAAAAATTTAATCCACAGATGGATCCCAACACCCAACTGCATTGGTGTCCAAAATTAATGGGGATTTTTGCTAAATAAGGACTGATTCAGCCAAAAAAAGATACACTTTGACTAAAGAAATCTGTATCATGCATCACTCCAAAGAGCACTGAATGCTTTGGAACACTAGAATTTCCCTAATAGGGACATAGTGAAAAGTCACTTATTAATTAAAATGCACATTTTTTTTCCTTTGTAACATGAAGCAGTGGAGTTAATCAAAACTACCACGCATTTACAAAATTTCATTTACTTATAAAACAGAATCCTTCATTTTCCTTATTTAGCTAAATAATTAAGGTAACACTTTGATTCAGGAGGCGAAGCTGCTTATTGCAATAATCAATTTTTCTCTAACTTTCTACTTCAAGAAATAAGCATTGCTGCCTATCAGCCCATGGTGGGTAAGAGTGATGTTGATAAGAAAGATTAGGGTATGTGTATTCATTTGCCCCCTCCCATAACTAAATTTACACAACCAACCATAATCTTATAACTTTGTGTTCATTTCTTTAAAGGTTCTTCTATTAGGGGTGCCTGGGTGGTTCAGTCGGTTAAGCGTCTGCCTTTGGCTCAGGTCATGATCCCGTGGGTCCTGGGATGGAGCCCCGCATTGGGCTCCCTGAGGGAAGCCTGCTTCTCCCTCTCCCACTCCCCCTGCTTGTGTTCCCTCTCTTGCTGTCTCTCTCTGTCAAATAAGTAAATAAAATCTTAAAAAAAAAAGATTCTTCTATTATATGAAACTATCTTGGCCTATGGTGTACTCAGTTTATTTAGAGTAGAATATTAAAGTAAAACAATTTCAATCCATGTTCGAGACAAATGGCATCCCTTTCTGGGTGACTGATTTTCAAAAAGAGCTCGTTATCTGGAAAGAAAAATGCTGCCTCTCTGAATTCACATGGGTTGGGAAATTCTTAGCCATCTACAGATGCACAGATTGAATCATGATAAAGAAGAGAACCTACATAATGATTAATTTCCTCTTTCCATTTAGGCTTAATATGTTTTAAGGGATTAATTGGACCTCTCCCACCTGTTTCTTAGAAGAAATCCATGCAGAAACACATTTCAGAAGAAGCCTATTGTGGTGGAGCGAGATGTTACTGGTTCTCCTTCCTTTGACTACATAGAATTAGCTCCTCTGTCTCTTAAGTTTTTAGCTTTGGGCTACAGCCTGGGTTTCTATACATCCATCTATTTTCCAGAGTTAATTCAAGCTGTTTAAACGTAATACATTACTTAATAAATATTAAAGTAGACAGACCCCCCCCACACCCCCGCCCCCGCCCAGTGGTGTGAGGCATTATTCCCCCGCATACAGGGTTTTAAAAGGCAAGACGGTTACAGGGCTTGCAGGGCTGTGTAATCTCAGCGAGTGGAATGGAACAGCAATACGTTCGGCTATCAAAGCAGATACATCGCATGCACAACTTATTGCACACTTTTAATTTCAGAATCTCGCTCAGCGCTAGGAAAAGCGGCACACTTGCCAAAGTGGGGTTAAGTACGCATCAGCAAAACCTAGCATATCTCACCAGCACCTCCTAGGGGCCATGTGGGGGTATGAAGCTAGGAAGTGGGTACCCGCGCGGACCCTTTCCTTGAATTGTCAGTTTCACGTCCCCTACACACAAAAATCCACCGTGTCTGTGCAGCCCCGAGTACGAGCTACATTGGCGAAGCAGTTCGGCGACTCTAGGGAGGCCGTTGAGAGGTTTAAATAAACTGCACGAAAGACGCATTTGCTCGCTTGAGGAAATAAACATTACACACACACACAGGAATTTCAAAGTCTGTGTGAGGAAGACTCCTAAATATATTGTGTCCTTTAAGAGCAAAGCTTCGTTATGACACCACAGCATTCAGAGGTATATGCATTTACTCCATTGACACACACACACGCACACACACACACACACACCGACACACGGACACACGGATTAATCTGCAAAGTTCCAGGATCCAGACGCGGTTAACACTGAAGTTGACAGGTTTTTAAAGGGTCTACATGCTCTTGCCTGGTTGCTGGGAATGAGGGCTGGGAGGCGCTGATGCGAGGGCAGAGCTGAGTGTCTGTAGGAGTTGCTGTTCCAGAGAATTCATTACTCTAATTGCTCTGATTTTAGATCAGTAGAGCGTGCCGGGCGGTGGTGGAGACAGAGATTGAGGGCGGACAGTGCGAGAGGGAACGAGTCGTTCACCCTTCAGAGAAGTCCAGGCGCTTTGTAAGTAATTCACGAACAGCCCGGAGCAGAAAGAGCCCAGCTGCTCTGCAGTTGCAACAGTTGTGCGCATCTAAATCCAGCCGGGTTCTGCGCGCCGGTCCCGGTCCCTTTCCCCAGTGGATTCGCGGCTCCTCAGCGCACCGCAGGTTCTGCGGGGAATTGGGGGGGGGCGTGGGGAGCTCTGGGTGGCGTGGGGGAGCGAGGGAAGAGGGAGACGCGCCTGGGCTGGAAGGCAATCCTCCTCGCCTGCAAACGTGTCGCCCGGCCCTGGCACCTCGCGGGCCCCTCTAGGAGCCCGCACAGCACAGCGGCCACCGAGGAGAGGAAAAGGGAAGTGTGGGGCTCGGCGAGGGCGAGGAAGCTTTGCCCAAGGCCAGGCTGCAATTAGGCAGCCGCAAAAGCCCCGCCGCGGAGCTTCCCACCTGCTGCTGTCCCAGCTGGGGCGCAACCTCCTCCTCCCCGGCCGGGGCCGGACTCCCAGACCCGGCTCGCTGGGCGGAGGGGGCGGAAGCGGCGGCAGGTTCTCCTCCCTGGCAGCGTCGCGGGCAGCGGGTGTAGCATCGTCCCCTCCCCGCCGAGATTCCCGGGGCCGGCCGTGCGGCCAGGCGCGCTGCGATTGGCCGGACGAGGCCGGGGGGCGGAGCCAGGCGGGCCGGTATCTCAAAAGAGCCCAGGATATTGCAGAGCGCACTGGAGCCCTGGCCAGCGCGCAGCCTTCCCCGGCGCCGGCAAGCTGGGTCTTGGGGATTCTGGTTTGCTTTGGCTCACTCGCTTTTTACAAACTACTGGATCTTACATGCCTCTGTACCCCCCACTTCCACTTCATGTCCCCATGCTCCTGCGCCAGCAACAGGTAAGGGCTGCTGTGTGTTTTCTTCCCTCCTTTTCTCCCGCTGCCTGTGTGTCCTGGGGAGTGGACTCGGGCCGCCGTCCCCAACCCTACCCTGCCCCGCTGCTCCAGAGGTGCCCAGCTGTCACGCTGCTGTAGCGCTTACCCACGCTGCGGAGTCCCAGATCATGCCTATAGAGTTTGTGTGCGCACCAGAACATCCCCAGAGCTAAAAATACTGAGACATGCTTGGAACAGTTGAGCAATAGAAACAGATTTCTCTGCAGCATCTGTTTGTGCTCATAACTTCCAGTGCACCAGCTGTAGCGAGATACTGAGTTTGGAGACAGGGGCGAGGGAGCCTGTGTTCGATTCTCGCTCTAAGGGAAAAAAAAAAAAGGCGAGGGTGGGGGTGGGGAGTGCTTCTAGAGCACTGGTCTCAAATCTTGGCAGACTTGGGACTCAGCACTAGTCTTGATCCTAGGCGTCTTTTTTTTTTTTTTTTCCTTTGTCATTGCTTCAAGTGTAGCGTCGAGTTCCAAACAGAGCAAGCGTCTCAAAGTTGCTTTGCTGGGGAAAGAGAGCGCGAGCCCGAGTTGGATTTGAGCCCGAAGACCGCAAAACTTTCACATCATATGTCACTCCCTCTTAAGCAACGCATTATTCTTAGTAATAATAGCATTAATACCTAAGTTGAAGACAGCGTGGTTTCAGGAAAGAGCACAGTGGTCAAAAAGACTGGATTCTGCAAGAAGATTGCATCATAACATAGACTCGTCATGACAATTGAAAAAAAAATCGAGATAGGAAATGGGCAGTTTAATGTCTGTGTCTGGATGAGCCTTACCAATGGAATGGTAACTAGGATACGGCTGTGAATCCTGGGGATTTTCATAAACTCAAAATTACCTGTTAGGAAACAAGGCATTGAAAACGTGTTTTGGGTATGCAAAGAATGCATATTGCCTTTTACCACTTGCTTTCTTTTCACGTTAATAATCAATACGTTGTTAGATTTCCTCTCACTAACCACTGCCCTAGGTCTGCTATATATTACCTGTTGCCAATAGCTGGAAAAATCTCAAGGCTCAGGGAGTAAGAGATGTTACTACAGGGATGGTGAGAGGGGTCAAAGCTGGGGTCAAGGTCATTTAGCTTTGCTTTTAACCCCTCTCCCTCCTGTTTTGATGGCACTTTCTTTAACATTATTGGTATCCCTAGGAATATTTATTCTAAACTTTTGTGAATTTGGCCTTTTTTTTTTTTTTTAAAGGACACACAGTATTTCTACTCTCTTCAGATGCCTCAGGTGTAGAATCTCTGGGTAACTGTAGAGTCCTTGTATGACTTCTCAGTAGCATCAAAGATGGGCCACGTCTTTACCTGAACAGATAGACTGTTGCAGTGTTTTTTAATCACAAGGTACGTATATTTCTCAGCATTTGCAAATGCTGAGTGATGCTACGTGCACTGTTGAGTATAGATGTTAGATAGATAAATGCCTATCCCTCTGCCCTGCCCCTATTTCCCCTCCCCCTCCCTTCTGTTTACTGAGCTTCTAAGAGGTTGCTTTGCTAGCAGTTGTGCTCACATAGCAACATGTGCCCAGAGCACACTCAGGCTGGTCTATATGGCGTCAGCTGGGGAATAACTACTCTAAACACTCATTAGCAGACCTCTCTCTCAGCCCAACACGCTTTCTTTTACTATCCTTATTTGCTATCCATAGTCAGAAACTTTCTTATCCACTGCACACCATGACCATATTATGAGACACATTTATTCTCATTTATTTCTCACAATTATGTTTTTCTAGTTTTTTATCACCCAAATTGGAAATATTTCCTATATGGGAACAATGATTTAGATTCACTCATTTATATAGTGTTATCTCCTTGACCTTGAATTTATCTATAGCGCGTGCTCTCTCTCTCTCTCTCTTTAACATCTACCTAAGGTTGAAATGGCTGAACTATTTTTTTCCATTGCTTATGCTTAATTTTGGCTCAGCCTATAAATAGTCTTAACATGAACAGCACCACATGTAGCCTCTCAATTTCCCAGAAATACTGTCTACCTCATTGGTTATAGCCTGGGTAAAATGATTATTTGTATCTATTAAATTTATATCAGGCCCTTAAATATTTTGGCTGAGAGGGGAGTTTACACATTGTTCATCAAATCGAATATGGTTTCTCCTGAATTGCACCCAGCAAGGAGTCAGATCACTCTCCTCTTAATCGAAATGTTTCTCAGAGAATTATTTTGAATATATGCCTAAAATAAAGCTGCACAAAAGCCCTATTCCTAATGAAAGTTTTTTTCCAGATGCTCATGAATCGGTGATTTTTAGTGAGAGAAAAGCAGGCAAGGAAGTTTTCTGCTCGCCTAGAGCCACTTGGGCATGTGGGCAGGTCAGTGAGGAGGGCATTCTTTATAATGAGATGTTAAGACAATTACCCTAGCAGACTGTGGCAGGTTCCAGATTTTTGCTATGTAGTCGGCGCCCCAAAACTCTGAATACACATAACGTGTGTGCACACATATACACACATAAATCCGTTTAGGAGCATATCTATTGGAAGTGACAAAAGCTTCCATTTTGCCAAAAGAATCTTTTTTTTCCCCCTTTCCAGGCAGAATGGTAAAATTTCTAAATGATGCTCCGCATGTGGAACAAATTCTATCATTAACAGTGGAAATAAGACAATAATAGTCATTCAATACAGGCCATTTTCAAAGTTCTAAAGGCAGAGAGCTCTTGGTTAGGAAGCTGGTATAGTGTGTTTTGTGGAATTCAGACTAATGTCCTGGGGTCAAGATATTTGGAAGGTCATAATTCAGTCTTTAGATTTCATATGGTTGTTATGCTTTAATCTGCAAAGAGTGCAGAAATAAGTCAGAAGAAATTTGAAACTGTCTACTCATGGTCCCTAATGGTAACTCAGATGGAAGGATTGTTTTAAATCATGAAAAGGGAGTTTCTTGGTGTCAACTTTTAAGATTCTGAAGTCATTCAGACCTCAAGGATACAAGCACTATTTAAATGAGGCACCCCCTTCCCCTGTTTTGGAGAGTATACCTCCATCTGATGTTCTATTCTTATCTCTCTCTGGTTTTGCATAGAAATCCTTGGCAATTTCATATGAGCCCAATAATCTGAAATCACTGGTAAAAAAAATTCTTTCCATGTCCCGGATCTAGAACCCTGAGGAATAGGAATCTTATTTCTTTTGTCCAAGTACAAACTTCACGGGGAAGCAGACAAAACATTGAAGCAGGTGGAAGACTGGGAAGGCACAGTAACTTCTTTTTATAAAGTAATTCAAAGGCACTTTCAAATCGGGCATCATTTACGTGTCAAAAGCTGCCAAAATGTAACACACATTGCAATTTTCACAGATGACTAATCTCAGGAAAAATGTGTTGGGGCACATTCTTGCATAATAACTTGGATAAGGAGGGAGAAGTGAAAAGACTGTAACAAGGCATTTTCAAAGACAATGCACCTTGCCTCTCTTTAAGGGGGTGCGCAAAAACAAGATAAATGACTTGCTTGATTTGTTTGCAGGTGGCTCGGCTGAAATTGGTTCTGTTAACTACTTAATCTCGTGTGGTTTGGGGGGGAGAAAGAAAAAGTGGGGTCCTCATTATCAGGGCTGCAGCGAATTTCTGTTCCTTTCCATCTGTTTTCCATCGTCCCCCTTTACTACACGAGATCGATTGGGTTGTTGGACGAGTGGAGAATCACTTCTGGTTTTTCATTCTATGCTGTATTCATTTTGTTAATTTCTATTTGATACAGGGAAACACTTTGGACTTTATCTTAGACTTCTGTGAGTCAAGGAAAATATAGTTTCTTTGGAGTGAAGATGGGAAGTTAAAGTAAATAGATAGTTTCTGTCGAGGTTAGGATGAGGCTAGAGGAGAAAACTGAAAACTACTGTTTGTTCACATGAGGTAAAGGTGAGTGCCTTCTCCATGGGAACATAGAGCAAACAGTAGCGCTCGAAGTGAAAGTAAGCTGACTGACAATTATGACCTACTCCTACAAAGTTGTCTCTGTTTGGGAAAACACAGAACTGGACCCACATGAAATGAGTTCCTGCCTTATCGCAATCTGCTAAAGACCTGGTCCTTTGGCACAAAGGTGCTTACTTCCTAGCCTGTCATTACACATGGCGGTCCCATCTCTGGAGAATTTCAGGACTCATTGCTAGGCAACAGACTTGCTCTTTATCCCCCAGAGCAAACCTACGCCTTCAAGTCAAAATCACTTGCACTAACAGAGATGTTATCGGGCATTTCTGCAAAGGGGCTGCTTGCAGTGTATGAAGTGATGAAGCAAACCCAAAGAGTTTCCAGAAATTGGGACCGATTTCAGGTCATTATAAGGACTGTCTGCTCAGTTGCTTTTTTTTTTTTTTATCATTTAAACAAAATAGTCTGTGCCTTCTGATTTTCACCGTGTCATCGAGGGCTCTGGTATCCTCCCATAATGCACCTGCGACTCAATTTATATTAATATTCTGCCTTGATGCAAACTGTTCTCTAGACATGTCTGAGTTCTCAAAGCCTCGTGACAAACCTTGGACTTAGCAAGTCTTTCTTCTGCTTAATAACTTGGGACCCTAGCAATAGAGAAGGCCAGAGACAGAATGAGAGAGGTTTATCTGTAAAAACAGAATCTCCTAGATTGCTGGAAAAAAATAGGGGGAAAAGAACCTGAAATTTTGATTGAAAGACTGTCCCAAACAATGAACTCTCCTATGCTTAATGACTTTATGCTTTTAAGTACAGTAAAAATATTTTTAGGGTACGAGGAAATTAAATACCTTATAATTTTCTGCAGAGTATATTTATCTGTATCTGGCTGTGCCTTGCTAGGAAATGTTATACCTTAGAGAGTAGAACCGATTAATAATGACTTCTTTTCTAATGAATAATGTCTTTTTTTGTTGTTGTTTTCAGGACATGTACTCTGGATGTCAGCTGAGTTACTGAGGTAGCTCTGCATGTCCGTAGACAGACCTTGGTAGAACCTCGAGAGGCTCCTGGAAACCCCCACTCTCTCCTTATTCTTTTTTGTATGTGTCCTCACTGAACATTCAAAACTGTTTCTCCAAAGGGTTTTGCAAAAACTCAGACTGTTTTCCAAAGCAGAAGCCCTGGAGTCCACGGCAGAAGCGATGGGCAGTGTGCGAACCAACCGCTATAGCATTGTCTCTTCAGAAGAAGACGGGATGAAGTTGGCCACCATGGCGGTTGCAAATGGCTTTGGGAATGGGAAGAGTAAAGTCCACACTCGACAGCAGTGCAGGAACCGCTTTGTGAAGAAAGATGGCCACTGCAACGTTCAGTTCATCAACGTGGGGGAGAAGGGACAACGGTACCTTGCAGACATTTTTACCACATGCGTGGACATTCGCTGGCGGTGGATGCTGGTTATCTTCTGCCTGGCTTTTGTTCTCTCGTGGCTGTTCTTTGGCTGTGTGTTTTGGTTGATAGCTCTGCTCCATGGGGATCTGGATGCATCAAGAGAGAGCAAAGCTTGCGTGTCTGAGGTCAACAGCTTCACGGCTGCCTTCCTTTTCTCCATTGAGACCCAGACGACCATAGGCTACGGCTTCAGGTGTGTCACAGATGAGTGCCCGATTGCGGTCTTCATGGTGGTGTTCCAGTCAATCGTGGGCTGCATCATCGACGCCTTTATCATCGGCGCCGTTATGGCAAAGATGGCAAAGCCAAAGAAGAGAAACGAAACCCTGGTCTTCAGTCACAACGCTGTGATCGCCATGAGAGACGGCAAGCTGTGTTTGATGTGGCGGGTGGGCAATCTTCGGAAAAGCCACTTGGTGGAAGCTCACGTGAGAGCCCAGCTGCTCAAATCCAGAATTACTTCCGAAGGGGAGTACATCCCCCTGGATCAAATAGATATCAATGTCGGGTTTGACAGTGGAATTGACCGCATATTTCTGGTGTCCCCGATCACGATAGTCCATGAAATAGATGAAGACAGTCCTTTATATGATTTGAGTAAACAGGACATTGACAACGCAGACTTTGAAATTGTGGTGATTCTGGAGGGCATGGTGGAAGCTACGGCCATGACAACACAGTGCCGTAGCTCCTATCTGGCAAATGAAATCCTCTGGGGCCACCGCTACGAGCCTGTACTCTTTGAGGAGAAGCACTATTACAAAGTGGACTATTCCAGGTTCCACAAGACTTATGAAGTGCCCAACACTCCCCTCTGTAGTGCCAGAGACTTAGCAGAAAAGAAATATATCCTCTCAAATGCTAATTCATTTTGCTACGAAAATGAAGTCGCCCTCACGAGCAAAGAGGAAGAGGACAGTGACAATGGGGTTCCAGAAAGCACCAGTACGGACACACCCCCTGACATAGACCTTCACAACCAGGCAAGTGTCCCTCTAGAGCCCAGGCCCTTACGGCGAGAGTCGGAGATATGACTGCTTCTTTCTCTGGAATATTTTACTTTAAAATAACAGTCTGTTGGTCAAAGGCCCCAAACAGTTATTCAGACGACGGTACCGGTGAAGAGGTGGGTCAAGGCAAGTGGCCACAAAGGACTGAGGCTAGCACAATGGTTTCAAAGAAAGACTGTAAGCTCGGAGATGAACATAAAGCACTCACCATGCCTCCCCCCGCCCCCCTCCCCCGTGACCCAATGGCACATACATGTTGTAGAATAAGTTATGGGGTTTTTATGTTTTGTTTTGTGTTTTTTACAAAACTTGAACTTGCAGGCAAGCCTTGGTTGGGTATTTGACTAATCCAGAATGCTTCTCTTTAGGGAACAAGAATGTTTTTAATGGCATAACAAAGGCAAGACTCTGCCTTAATTTTTGAAAAGCTGCTAACTACATGAACACAAATTGTATTTTTGTTGCCGTGTAGTTTTTCTTTTGTGTAATTTAAAAGTCAGTGTTGAACTTTGTTGAAAGCTCATGATATGTGCTTCAAAGTGGCAAGTATTTGGCTGTTAAGCTGCCAAAACGAGAGCCTGATTTTTTTGAGGCCAGTAATTTGTTTGCTAGAATTGATTTTCTTTCTCTCTCTCTCTCTCTCTCTCTTTCTCTGGTTACATAAGGGCATTATGTAACACTAGCCAAATGGTAGCCTATGGGTTTTGTTTTGTTTTGTTTTGTTTTCCTTCCATGATGTTAATGGGTTATCTCAAATTTTAAGTTAGACTACCTAAAATAAATACCAAAGATAATGCACATTTTTGCACAGTGGAGCTTAGACTAAAAAGGATAGAAAGCTCCACGGCTGCCTTGAAATCAAGAAACAATAACTTTGAACCTCAGCAAGACCTCGAACTGCCCTCTCCTTTTTCACCTTACTCAGAAAATAGAACATCATACACACAAAGTCTAGTAAGTGTCCGTGCTTTTTCGATTTTGCTCTTTCGTGCAACTTGTGTTTGTTAGGGGAAGAAGAAAGGTGAAGTAAAATTCACACGTACACAATCAAAATATCTTTTCTTTCCTGCTTGGTAGGGCTGGCCAGGCCAACGCATAAGGTGCGAGATGGTGATGTGCTCTTAGATTTGTCTGGATTTCCCCTGTTCGCACATTCCAAAATTTATTCCATTAAGATAAGACCTAGGTTTGGAGTTAGTTGGCATCCTCAAAAACTGAGCCACCCAACATGACAGATAGGTTTAAACTCTTGTGGCTGAATGCATTGCCCCAACTGTCAGGACATTTCCAACTTGACTTGGCTTTCGAGAAGATGCCACGCCTAGCCCCTAGGCTGGTTCTTCCCATCAGTCTGTCTGGAGCGAATCCTACAGTGTCTGGAAGGCTGCAGATGCCAAAGGGGGAGCCGGCAAGGTGTGGACCGGCCACTTTGATGTAGCACCTCAGCTTAAGTATTCGTGAGGGAGAGGAAAGTGACTTTATTTTAATGGTAGAGGGTAGGAATGAAAATACCACAGTATTTTGGGTCCAACAAGAGCCATACAAAATATAACACAGCCACAAGTAGGAGGTAGCGATCCAAAGGGTTATTTCTCCTTTATGTATGCACATTTGAGACTGGATCTGAGCTGATCCTTCTTGCCTGTGGAGCCCTAGTGCAGGTTACTAAGGACACATTGTTTTCCAGAAGTCTCTCCTGCCTGGCTGCCTGACTTGATCGAAACATTTTGGTTTTTTTTCTTTCTTTCTCCCTGCTCTAACTCAATCATGGAACTCTTTTTTGGTTTAAAGTTCCTTATGTGTGAATTCTGGGGGTTGCTGACTTTTCTCTTTCATTGGAGTCTCAAAATCAACTCTCTTACGGTATTATATCCCTGTATGCCATTAAAAAAACAGCTTGTTCCAGAATCCTGTATTTTGTAAATTGATGTGTGTGATGGTCTCTGGGTCTTGAACAGCCATCTCTGAATGCCGTGCCTGCAATAATATGACAGTTTCTGCTGTTCTCAGCCTTCAAAGCTGCCGGGTTTGAAAACTGTGGTGTTCTTTTCATGGAAACCAAGACAGAGATGTCAAGCAAAGGGATGCTATTTTAAATCCAAATTTAAAGGCAGGTTTGGGAAGTTGTTTAGAGAGCTGGACGAATTGGGATTGACAGACGAGGGAACAATTCGGCTTTTGAGGGCGAGAGGTTACTGAGGGCTTCAGCTGCTGCTATTTCGGTATTTTGCAAAGGAAAATAATCAAACCAAAGAGTATTCAGTGATACGTAAATTAAATGAAGATGCAGTGGAGCACGGAGCGACCACTAAGAGGGCTCCTCCCAAATACACAGTGTTGCCACTTAAAAGGACTTGAGACAGTTGAAAGAGGGTGGGTCTGGGGGCAAGAACGAGGGAGGGAAATCTTTCAACTTCTTTCTGAAAAACAGAAAAAAAAAATCTAAAATTTCTGGTGCACAGGTTTGTTTTTGTTTTGTTTTGTTTTTTTCCAAGAAAATTTTGCAGAAGCTATGTTTTTAAAGTGTACATTTTATAAAGTTTATCAGATATTTTCATATTTAAAGCCAAATGTAAATAGAAGTCTGTAAAGGGAAAAAAAAATGCCATAGAAAGTATAATTTCAGTGCAGCAATTTCGGAGAGCTAGTACCTCTATGCTACCGGTTAGCATGGTTTTAGCAAATATTTACCAGCCTTATAAAGTTCGTATTGCTATGTTCTGTTATTTATTTCAGCATGGACTGTTCTTTTGAAAGCTTTTCCTAGTTAGTAGTATTTTAACAATTACAAGCTTTAAATGGCGATTTTTCTTTTCTTTTCTTTCTTTTTTTTTTTGTCAAGAGCCAAGACACAGGTAATGCACTGGGTTCTTCCAGCTGCCTTCTTAGGAGCCTGGTCCTCTGATTATAAACTTGCACCTGCTTTAACATTGCGATTTTTCTTTTCTTTTCTTTCTTTTTTTTTTGTCAAGAGCCAAGACACAGGTAATGCACAACATTTTTTTTGTTGCATTTTACCTTCAAAACATTTGTCCTTATTGACTGGGTCTCCTTAATTAGTGCACATACGTCATTAGAATGAAGTCAGAGGAGACTCACCGTGGTATCTGGGGTCTCTGCCCAGCTACGTGTTCCTTCTCTACTGCAAGCAAAACCCCCGTTGAATTTACTTAGGAATTACTCCCTTTTAAAGAATTTTTGCTCGTATCTGGATGGGCATTATATTTTTGGGAGGAGGCATAGATTGCTGGTTATCCTATTTTTAAATAAAAGATAAAGTGAATTCTATTTTGACTATTGAGAATGGAATAGTTTTCTATCCCTCTAAGAGTATACTTGAATCAGACATTGTAAGAATGTCAGTATAGACAGCACTGTAGCCATTTCCAAATTGCTGGAGAAAGTCTGTTTTACCTTTTTTTTAAAAAAAAAACACAAAAAAACTATTCATGCATTATTTCTTCTCTTCACTTCTTTTCTTCCCTATGAACCCCCATCCCAAAACTTGACCGTCTGTTTGATGAGGTCTATCCCCCAAATCATGTTACCCATGCAAATGACAAATGTCAGCTCCCGTTTTATAATAAGCCTCTCAGTAAAGGCAAAAAGTTTGTTCTGAGAAGCAGGGTGAGTTCTTTTTCACTCTGTGTCTAATAATGTTAAGGCGAAAAATTAAGTGTTGCGTAGCCCCCTCCCCACTCCCGACGAGAACCTCTTTTCTAGTTACGTTGGGTTTCACCTCTGGGCTCTGGCGAGTTGAACAGTCCCGGCCTTTGACAATCGTGATAGTTATTATTTTCCCGTTTGCCGTCTTTTTGTATCTGAAAGTCTTCCTATTGTACTGCACAAACCATGGATTGTACATATTTTTATATATTATGTCTTATTTTATTATTTCTAAATAAAAAATTAAAAAATTGAAGACAAATCCGTGCAAGAATTTGCGGGCCTCCTGTATGGTTACTGTTAGCCTCGCTGGGATACGAAGCCAATGTTCCCAAAGCACAGGACAGAAAGGCTGATAGTTGGGATGAATAGAGCCATAGAAATGGCCTCAACAGGGAGGTGTGGTGCGGTGGCAGATTAACTTAATCCAAGTTAGAGGAAGGCAAGCTCATATTTTGTTTTTGGACGGAACAGGGGAGGTAGAGAGAGGGTAGCAAACAAGCAAGCAAACAACACTGACGAAACATATTATAAGCTTTAGATTTAAAGCCTCTGTTTAAATGATGGTAGTTATCCTTTATGGAGCCTAAACTATGTATAGGGTTCTGCCTTATATGTTATCTCAGCCGTCCTCCCCCCCCTCCCAGATTAGGATAGTATTCTTCTTGTATTGTAAATCAGGAGTTGATGAAAGTGTTCTGTAAAGGGCCGGAAGGTAAACATTTTTGGCTCTGCAAAACAGAGGGTCTGTCTCCACTATGCCCTTGGAGTGCAACACTGATAATAGGAAAACAAATGATATGGCTGTGTTTCAATAAAACTTTACTTATAACTACAGGTGATGGGCCAGATTGGGCGCATGGCCTGTAATTTATCGACCCCTGGTACAGTGGAAACTGAGGCTGGGTGTAAAGCTAATAAAATTCAAGTTCCAGGTTTTATGTGCCTCCACAGTTAGTTTAATCCACTAAACTATATATTGTTTGAGGACACAAAGTTACCAGGGCTATGCAGTCTCAGAGAAAATGCTACTTTTTCTAGCAGATTTGGAATAACTTCACTGTTGTTTCATGATTGGAAATCTCGAGAAAATCTGCATTCTGAAATAAGGGTTGCTCCTTAATATTTTTTCTTTAACAAATATTCGTGTGGCACTTACTGTGTTTCAAGCATGGTTCTAGATTCTTTGTAAGTATTAAGTACTTTAATCTTAACAGCAACTCTATGGAGTAGGCAGTGCTATTATCCTCATTTAAGAAATGAGGAACCAGGACCAGAGAGGTCAAGTGCCTTGTGCAAGCACACATAGCAAGTAGGTATGAGAGCTGAGATTTAAACTGAGGCCATTTAGCACCTGGCTGTACTTTTTATCAGTCCTCTGTGCTTTCCATCTGGAGGCATTCTTGGTTAAAAGTTTCACCATTTACCCCAAAGCCTTTCTGCTTCTTAGTTTTTATTTTTCTAGGTGATGAAAATGCATTCTGG